AGAGAGTACCAGCCGTTTATGGCGGTTATCACGATGATGAAAGAAACTTTGTCTTTGGAGGATCTTTACACCGTGCTTTTGGATGCTGAAGCTCAACTAGTAGGCTTCGATGAATCGGTGGATTTGCTACCTATGAGTGCTAATGTAGCTCAGCATGAGGCCGACTTTTCTGACAATGGCCGGCGTGACTCCAGATCCTCACGATCGTCTTCAGTAAACCAATCGGCTGGTCGTGGTCGAGGACGGACCCGAATCCAGTGCCAGCTATGTGGCAAACTAGGTCATCTCGTTGATCGTTGTTGGCACCGATTCGATGAAGACTTCATGTGCGTGACTGCTGACTCTCGTGCTCATAAGAATCAGTCTGCTAACAGTCATTACTCAGTTGCTGAATCCCCCAGCTCGGGTTGTGAGTGTTGCAAGGGACGCTCTCAGTCGGCAGCAGGGTCGTCGCAAGCCAATCTGGTCTCCAAATCGGCAGATCTATGGGTAGTCGATTCGGGTGCAACGCACCATGTTACTCCCGATGCCTCCAACATTACAAATTCTACTGAATTTAGAGGCCCAGGTAAACTCACTGTGGGAGATGGAGTTCCCCTTAACATTAGCAGTATTGGTAAATCAGTTTTGGATTCTTCAAGAACCTTAATTTTGAATGATTTGTTGCATGTACCTCGTATAACAAGAAATTTACTTTCGGTCTCCAAGCTTGCTAGGGACAATGCAGTTTACTTTGAGTTTCATGCTGCAAATTGCTTTGTGCGCGATGAATCTACTGGAGAGGTTCTACTACGGGGAGAAGAAAAGGGTGGACTATATACATTTGCCTTTGGTTGTGCATTTAAAGAAGGACCACGTGCTACTGCCCATCTCGTAGTAACAGACGTTTCTCAAGCCCAGTCCGAGCTTTGGCACCGGCGTTTAGGGCATCCTAATCAGTATGCATTAGACAAAATAGCTAAGGAAATCAATGTCAAACTTGATTCTGAAAGTAATAAACGTGTGTGGCTTGTCACATGGGGAAAAGTCACAAGCTTCCCTTTGCACATTCTGTTACTCAGTATAAAGTTCCTTTTGAGTTAGTTTTTTCAGATTTATGGGGTCCTCCACATGTGGCTTCTAATGGTTTTCGATATTATATATCGTTCGTAGACGCATGCACTCGGTTTACATGGGTTTATTTCTTAAAAGACAAAGCTCAAGCTCTATCAGCCTTTCAACTTTTTCACAAGCTTGTTCTAAGTTTGGAGTGTCAATTAAAGCTATTCAAACTGATTGGGGGGGAGAATATCGATCGTTCTCTTCATTGTTAGCCCAAGCTGGTATAGTACATCGCTTGTCCTGTCCCCATACATCAGAACAGAACGGTGTCGTCGAGCGTAAGCATCGTCACATAGTGGAACTCGGATTGGTTCTGCTGGCTCAGGTGTCTTTGCCTATTCAGTATTGGTCATATGCCATGGTAGCTTCTGCCCACCTTATTAACCGATTGCCTACTAAGGTTCTTGATGGAATGTCACCTTTTGAGAAGTTATACAACAAGAAACCTGATTATTCTCAGCTGAAAGTGTTTGGGTGTCAATGTTTCCCTCACTTAAGGCCATTTCAAAATCATAAGTTGGAGTTTCGTTCGCAGGCTTGCACATGTCTTGGCTTCAGCCCTAAGCATAAGGGTTATCAGTGCCTTGCAAGCAATGGACGGGTTTATATATCACGCCATGTCATATTTAATGAGTTAGTGTTTCCATTTGCAGGTAAAGACACTGGAAAGGTGTTTCACAGGACACCAACGTGGCAGACTCCAAAAATTCCAGTTGTTTCTAATATCAAAAGATGGCATCAAGTAGCTGTTCCAGTCGATGCTGAAGATAGTGTGAATGAGGAGGAGGTTGAAACTGCTGCAAATCAAATGCAACAACACACAGTTGAAACTGCTGCAGATCAAATGCAGCAACATACAGTTGTAACTACTGCAGATCAAGTTCAACAACAAGCGCCGCCTAAAGTTGTGGCTGAAATCGTACCTGTCTTAGACACCGTTGAAGAGGTTGTGCCGGTTTTAGAAATTACCACGACTACCAGTTACGATATTAATATGACTGATGCTGATGAACATACTGGCACTGGAATAAATGCGTGTGATAATCTGCCCAGTGAGTCTGGAAACAATGTTGTAGGCTTGCTAAGGCAAAACTGTCACCCCATGGTGACTCGCAGCAAGCGTGGGGTATTCAAACCCAAGTCGTACGCCACCTACTTTGAAGATGAAATTCCCGCCTCAGTTCATGATGCATTACAATCTGATAACTGGAGAGCAGCAGTTCAAGCTGAACTGGATGCTCTTATAAAAAATAATACATGGTCAGTTGTAAAACTTTCAGCAGGGCGAGTTCCAGTGGGCTGCAAGTGGTTATTCAAAATCAAGCGAAACCCTAATGGATCTGTTCATAGGTATAAAGCACGGTTAGTTGCGAAGGGCTTTTCACAAGTGCCTGGTTATGACTTCACTGATACCTTTAGCCCGGTTGTGAAGTTTTCCACCTTCAATATTGTGCTAGCTCTAGCTGTAACAAATGGGTGGGAATTGAGACATATGGACATCAATAATGCGTTTCTTAATGGGGACTTAGAGGAAGATGTTTTCATGAAACAACCACCGGGGTTTGAGCAAATGGCTGAGGATGGAACTCCTCTTGTCTGCAAGCTGCACAAGGCCCTCTATGGTCTTCGCCAAGCGCCCAGGAACTGGCATACCAAACTTAGAGACAACCTTGTTGAAATGGGATTTACTGCATCCCGAGCAGATCCTTCATTGTTCATCAGCAAGGGGCATGGCAGTGACATTTATATATTAGTGTATGTTGATGACATCGTTATTACTGGGCAGTCACCATGCAAAATTCAAGAGGTAGTGCACTTGCTTGGAGAACGGTTCTCTCTCAAAGATTTAGGAATGCTTAGTTACTTCTTGGGAATAGAAGTGTTATGCTAAGTCAAAAAAAAATTATACTTGAACTTCTAGAGAAGGCAGGAATGAAGGGAGCTGCTGGTTGTGGCACGCCGATGATCTTGGCTTCGAAGTTGTCAGCAAACGAGGGAGAGTTATTGACGGATGCTACAGAGTATCGCAGTATAGTAGGCTTGTTGTTGTATGCATGCCATACACGACCTGACCTAGCTTATAGTGTTGGAAAAGTAGCTCAATACATGCAGGCGCCACGTGAAGCGCACATGATTGCAATCAAACGAATATTGAGATACTTGGCTGGTACTGTTAACTATGGGTTGTTGTTTCGACCAGTGGATGACTCCTTGATGATTGCCGCATTTGCTGACGCAGATTGGGGCGCGAATGTTGATGATCGAAGGTCCATATCTGGTTTTGGAGTGTTTGCAGGCAAATGTCTGGTTACCTGGTGTTCTAAAAAGCAAAAAACTGTGTCAAGATCAACCATGGAGGCTGAGTACAAATGCATAGCAGACACTGCAGCAGAAGTGACTTGGATAAATGCTCTACTTGTTGAACTTGGTCTTCCACAGCGACAAGAACCAGTAATATGGTGTGATAACACAGGGGTAGTAGCAATGAGTGCAAACCCTGTTTATCACGCTCAGTCCAAACACATCGACATGGATATCCATTTCGTTCGGGAAAAAGTTGCTGCTGGCCTGCTGAAAGTAAACTACGTTCCAGCCGCACATCAGGTTGCAGACGGGTTCACCAAAAGCTTTGTCTAAGACTGCCTTCGAAGAATTTCGCAAAAACGTGTGTGTGGTGTCTTTAGTCTAGTTGCAGAAAGAGAAGAAGGAAACAGTAGGGGGAATGTTAGACTGTTGATATGCGTATGGTTCTGGTCTATGCATGTGCTGTGCATTCACGTGTATGTGCTTTAAACAGGTGGTTAGTTTGTTAAAAGTTAGCTAAGGCTGTTAAGCAGTTAGAGAGAGTTTGTTGAGCCGTTATTGAGCCATTGTACACTTATAAATTGCTGCTCATGTTGATAATAAGAGACATGTTTTTCCTGTGTAATCACCTATTCTCTCTACTTCTCATTAATGACATAGAATTTTTCCATTGAAGGAAATAATATCACCAAAGTCCTTCACATTTTCCGGGCTTAATCCACTTCTCTTCTCCCAATGTCCGAACAGCCGAGCACTTGAAAAAAAGTTTCATACAGTTATTGATATCTAGATGTTTAAATGAACCGAACTTAAATGAATAAGGTTATATTCATATTAATTTGTTTTTTAATAATTTTTTTATTTATGCTCGTGTTCATTTGTTTATTATTAAAAGTGTACGTGTTTTAGTTCATTTTTATCTTTGTGAATATGTTAGTTTAACATTTATGAACATGTGCGTTCAACATTCATTTGCAAATAAAAGAAAAATGACTACGAACCAAACTATCTCAATAATTAAAGATAGTTGTTATCTATAGAGATCTCATATTCAAGCATGAAAGATTGTTTCATTGTTAAATGGTTAAATCTTTAGAGCACATACCACTTATAATCACCTTATAATAAAAAATGATAAAATTACACTATTAGTCCTTAAACTCATTAGACTTTAGAGTTTAAAGTCCAAAGTTCACTTGTATTTAATTTAGTCAAAAAATAAATCAACAAACGAGTTTGTTTATGAACATAACGACTCGTAAATATTTTTATTTTTATTTATTCGTCTATTAAATAAACATAAAAATTTTATTTATCTCATTTATTTAATATAATAAATAAATATAAACAGAGAGTATACTAACAATTTAAAAACTATATATCAAACATTATGTTCATTTATATTTTTATTGTCGGCGGTAATTGACCGCAACAAGACTATTTTCTTTCTGTAGCCTCGGTATATATGCACAGAAGGATGATCAACAAGTGCTTTAATATTCACCGATAAATTCATGACCCAATTTTTTAAGGTAATATACGAGTAAAAACTCAGAAGATTTGTTCTGTCAATGAACTCCTATGTTCAGGGGGATTAAAATCATCAAACAAGACAGGCCAGACCCTCAGCAACTGGCCTTTTGGGTTAGACCCATCAAGTTAGAAAGTTCTTCGCTTTGAATTGAAAACTACTATTCTTAATTCTCGGTCAAGATTGAATATCGAAGATCCAGAAGAGAACCTCCCTTGAACCCTGGGACACATGGAGAAGAAGCAGGAGCAACAAAGCGGCCTTAAAAGTAAAAGAAATGAAAGAAAAGCTGCTTCTGTGAAGATAATTGGGAGCAGCTCAATCAATGGGGACGATGCTTCGAGCTTAGTTGGGAGCATAGTCGAAAAGGGTATTGTTTCAAATGATAATATTAGTAAACCCATTCAACCGCCTCGCCTCTCAGTGCTTCCTTTCCCTGTTGCACGCCACCGCTCTCATGGACCTGTAAGCCACCGCCAAATTCGCTCTTTTCTTCTTCTTCTTCTTCTTCTTCTGCAATGAATTTGTTCTCTTTCTTATTTTATTTGTTGATTTTCTATTCTTTTAAGTTGCTTGAATTCCAAAACTTGGAACATTTGTAGGATATGTGAACACCTTTATGTTATGCATTTTGTATAGATTTTTTAGGATGCGTAGATCACCATTATATATAACTCGAAAGTGGAGCTCTGTAACTAATAGTTTGGGAAGTAAAGTTGTTTTGGCAATTCATTGTTATTGATTACTTCAATTTACCCTGTAAAGTTGTTGCTTGAAGGAGAAAGGCAAACCATAAGTTTAAAGCCTAAAAAACATGGGTTTGGAATGGTGCAATCAACTGATACTAGCACAAAACATGATCCTTTTTGGTTGTCTTCCTTCCTCTTATAATTGTTGATTGAAGTAATTTACTGGGTTTATTTGTTTGAAGCAGAAGTTGCTTAAACTGATATTTGGATTTGTTTTAACAGCATTGGGCTCCAAGAAGCAATAATAGAGATATTATTGAAGAGGATGATGAAGATGAAAGTGAATCTGCTAACTTTGATCCCATATCAGTTTTCGCTAAACCAGTGCAGAGGAAAGAGAAAAAGAATTTGGATCTCAGTTGTTGGAAAGAGGCAATGCGGAGTGATGATTTTTCCATAAGAAAGGGAAGGGAAGCAAACAAGTCAGACTTCAGGAAAACTGAAAGACAAAAGATGGATGGAGAAGCCTTGGGTGCACATGCAGATATAGCATCCATGGATGTAGATATAGAATCACATTTAATTGCCCATAGGCCTTCAGCTAAAACAGACAAAGCCATGAGGAGTGAATTGAGTGCTAGTTCAGTCACTGAAATGGACTTAGATGACTTACTTCAATCACACCAGCAAGAGTATGTTAAAGATGCTAATTCTGAAAACATAAGTAGTGAATCTGGATCAATGGCTATTAATGATCATGTCATGGCAGAAAGAATGTTCCATAATGATAGTGCCCAAGCACAATTCAGGAGAATGGAGAAGGTAGATACCACGGTGCTGAAACAATTCCACAACTTAGGAAATGAACATGGGTCCATGTCACTTGAGAGAGAAATTGATGCTGAGAATCAAGCCCGATTAGAAAACATGTCACCTGAAGAAATTAAACAAGCACAGGATGAGCTTATGCAGAAGATGGATCCTGCTTTACTGAACCTACTGAAAAAACGAGGGCAACAGAAATTAAAGAAGCAAAAAGACTCAACCTCAAATCTGGTTGCCGATGGTGAACAGAGAATTAGACATGAAAATCAGTCAAACAATGATATAAATGCTCAAAATATAGAGAGCAATAATCCCACAGTCACAACAAACTCAAACATTACACAGAGCGGCCTTGACAGTGATATGGAGCAAGATGTAAACCCTGTGAGTGGCAGCTTGTGGAATGCTTGGAGCCAGAGAGTTGAGGCTGTTAGGGAATTAAGATTTTCCTTGGATGGGACTGTTGTTAAAAATGATTTTGGCCACATACCAGAGATAAGTAAGGCGAAATCATAGTCTCTTTCATGCCCATTTACTTAGTTGCTTTTATACATACCTGCACGCATTCTCGCTTAATATTATGAATCTATGGGTAAGCAGTAGACTTTAGATCTCGTCACTTTCTTCACAAGCTCTCTAAAAGTTGATTTGTCAAAATTTATTTGTTCACCAGAAATCTGTATTCTTCGTTTGCCTAGATAATAGATTTGTTGAAGGATGCTAACCATACAAGGAACAGAAGATGACTGAAATTAATGTCTTTTTTTCCCTTCGTTTTTGTATTATAGGTGGTGAAAATGTTGCAGAACGTGACTTCTTGCGGACAGAGGGGGATCCTGGCGCAGCAGGTTATACAATTAAAGAAGCGGTAGCACTCTCAAGAAGCACGGTAGGTTTTTATTTTATTTATTAGTTTATTGGATAACATTTATATCTTCAAGGCCAATATAATTATGTGTTGATGAATTGCAGTTAGATTGTGTATTTAAATATTGTTACAGTATATCTTTGATATAAGTGTTTTGATCTCCTGTTATTTGCTGATATTGTTGAATTTAGATTCCAGGACAACGGGCCCTTGCACTACATCTCCTTGCATCTGTGCTTGATAAGGCATTACATAATATTTCTCTCAGTCCTGTTGGCTCTACTCTGACCGATAATATCATTGTTGATGATGCTGTTGATTGGGAAGCCGTTTGGGCTTTTGCAATGGGCCCAGAACCTGAGCTAATCTTATCGTTAAGGTTAAATGAACTTTTTTCCAAAACTCCAATAATGTCAAGTCACACTGTTCTTTTTCTTGTTAAAATTTTAGATTTTGATTCATAAAATGTGTTTGTATACTGTATTCTTTACTCTTAATTGAATATTTTTTATATATGTAGGATGTCTCTTGATGATAATCACAATTCCGTTGTTTTAGCAAGTGCCAAAGTTATTCAGTGCATATTGAGCTGTGATATAATTCAGAATTACTATGATCTTTTGAAGGTAGATTTTTAATTTTGTATGTCTTGCTACTCTTGTATGTCTATATGTAATGCGGAGTTTAACGAATGTTATGTATTGCAGAAAACAACAATTGACATGAAGGATACTTATACTGCTCCTATATTTCGAAGTAAACCAGAGATTGATGTTGGTTTTCTTCATGGTGGATTTTGGAAATATAGTGCAAAACCTTCAAATATTCTTCTTCATGGTGATGATATTGTGGAAGATGAAACCGGAGGGAAGTATACAATTCAGGATGATATTGTTGTTGCTGGACAAGATTTTGCTGCCGGTTTGGTTAGGATGGGAATCCTTCCAAGGATTCGATATCTTTTGGAGGTGACATTTTTTTGTTTGATAAATCCATTTCAATATCTGATTTGTTAAGTCCTTGATATACCTGCCATCAGGTTTCTGCTTAAATTTATTCAAATTTAGTATTCATCTAGGCTCGCATCTTCTTTTTCTCTACTGCTGATTTTCATGTTACATTTTTTTCTTTTTTTAGTACTTGCATGAGACTCTGGAAACTATTTAAGTTGTACAATGATCTCTATATTAATTTGATAGGTCTATATTTTAGTTGCTCTGAATCCTAACAGGATAGCAGCCATTGTGTGTCTACCGGAAGCTCAATTCTTAGGTTGTGTAATGTTTCTGCTAAGTATTTTGTTGTTCATTGTTCCAGATAGAACCAACAGCAACAGCACCTTTGGAAGAATCCATGGTTTCAGTACTAGTTGCAATAGCAAGGCATTCCCCAATGGGTGCGAACGCAATAATGAAGTGCCAAAGACTAGTTCAAACTGTTGTTCATCGATTCACTGCAAATAGCAGTATGGAGGTTTATCCGTCTAAGATCAAATCTGTTTGCCTTTTGAAGGTAAGATTCTATTCAAATGTTTTTGGAATATCAGACGACCATGAGGCTGTCTGACCCTTTTTTGTGTTAGAAAAAATAATGAAAATTGTGCTGTGTTCTATTTATTTATTGAATGGTTTATTTTCCTACCATTTAGAATAATGAATTTATATTGCTGTAATTTTTTGTTAAAAAGGTGCTAGCACAATCTGACCGGAAGAACTGTGCAGAGTTCATAGAAAATGGGATTTTCCAGGCTATGACATGTCAATTGTACTCTCTGGAACAATGGTTGAAATTGGGAAGAGAAAATTGTAAACTTTCATCTGCTTTAATGGTTGAACAACTACGTTTTTGGAAGGTCTGCATTCAGTATGGATATTGTGCATCATACTTCTCCAACATTTTTCCAGCCTTGTCCTTGTGGTTGAATCCCCCTATAATTGAAAAACTGGTTGAGAACAATGTTTTAAGTGAATTTGCTTCCATCTCTGAGGAGGCATACCTTGTTCTAGAATCCTTGGCCAGAACACTTCCAAATTTTTATTCACACAAGATTCTAAGTGATACCATACCTGAGGGAGCCGATGACAATGTGGAAACCTGGTCTTGGATCCATGTTGGGCCAATGGTTGATTTAGCTGTTAAATGGATATCATTTAAGTCTGTATTGATTGATTCTCAGGATGGAATAATGGGGAACTCTGTTCTCCACGATAAATCTTCCTCTCCCTTATTATGGGTGTACTCAGCTGTCATGCACATGCTTTCCAGAGTGCTTGAAAAAGTGATCCCTGAAGATGCCATGGACCTCCAAGAAGGCGGTGGTCACGTGCCATGGTTGCCAGATTTTGTTCCTAAGGTTGGACTTGAAATTATTAGAAATGGTTTTTTGAGCTTTACACATGTGAACGGTGCAGAATATGGAAATAAACTGGCTGCAGGTAGTTCTTTTATTGAGCAACTCTGTTATTTAAGGAAGCAAAGTGAATCCGAAACATTATTTGCTTCTCTATCTTGCCTTCATGGCTTCTTCCAGGTTTGTATATACATTGACAATTTGATCCAGTTAACAAAGACTATGGTCTGTAATCCTTCTCAAGAATACTGTTTATCACATGAAGAGAACATACTTGCAAAGGGGATACTGGTGGAATCTTTGTTTGAATTGAGATGTGTGTTTGACATTTTCTCGAAGTTAGTAGCATCAGAGTGGCACTTTGTGCAGTCAATCGAGATTTTTGGTAGAGGCGGCCCTGCTCCTGGTTTGGGGATTGGATGGGGTGCCTCTGGTGGAGGATTTTGGTCGAAAATTGTTTTATTGGCACAAACAGATGCATGGCTGCTCAGTCAGTTGCTTGAAATCTTCCAGATTACTTTTACAGAAGTTTTATCCTTAAATGAAGAGAGGACCTTTACCAGGGAGATAATCCTTTCTGCTTTAGGATTATGTTTAATTGCTGGACCAAGAGAAAAGGTCATTGTGGAGAAAGCGTTGGACGTTATGCTTCAAGTACCGGTGCTAAAGTACCTTAATCTTTGCATTCAGCGTTTTATCCAGGATAAGGGGAGTATAAAATCATATGGGTGGGAATATAAAGAAGAGGACTATATTCTCTTCAGAGAGATATTAGCTTCTCACTTCAGAAATAGATGGTTGTCTAATAAGAAAAACTTGAAAGCCTCGAGTGTTGATAAAACATCAAGGGGCAATGTTCCTCTGGAAACCATACCAGAGGACCTGGACACATCAAAGATGAGTCAAGATCATAACTGCACTTCAGTGATGGCGGAATGGGCCCACCAAAGACTACCGCTTCCCATGCACTGGTTTCTTAGTCCAATATCAACTTTATGTGCTAGCAAACATGCTGGGCTAGGAAAGGCCTCTGATATACAAAATATTATGCAGGACCCTGGTCATATACTTGAAGTTTCTAGAGCTGGAATGTTTTTCCTTCTTGGTTTGGAAGCCTTGTCCGCTTTCTTGCCTGCAGATGTTGTATCACCCATCCAGAGTGTTCCGGTAATCTGGAAACTGCATTCATTATCCATCATATTACTCGTTGGAATGGCCATGCTTGAAGATGAGAAGACTAGGGACGTTTATGAGTCTTTGCAAGAGCTGTATGGACAACATCTTGATGAGAAAAGGTCTCAGGGAAGACTTGAAACTACTTCAAATATGTCTACCAGTTTAACACCAGAGACAGGAGAAAAACATAGTGTGGAGTTTCTGAGGTTTCAATCAGAGATTCATGAAACTTACTCAACATTTATTGATACTCTTGTTGAACAGTATGCTGCTGTATCTTTTGGTGATTTGACCTATGGTCGGCAAGTTGCAGTATATTTACACCGTTGTGTCGAAGCTCCTGTGCGACTTGCTGCCTGGAATGCATTATCTAATTCTCGTGTTCTTGAACTTCTTCCACCATTGCAGAAATGCCTGGGAGAGGCTGAAGGATACCTTGAACCTGTTTGAGGTACTCCCTGCTATTTTTATTTTTCTGTTCTATTAGAGTGCATAGCAATTTGCGGTGTAGAGTAATTGAATGTGCTTCACAAATTTTGTCATAATGAACCCCTAATTCGCCCTCAATGTGTTAGAAGAGAACACTGTAAAATATTAGCTTGCTTCAATATCATAAGGTGGAGAGAGAGAAATAATGAACTGTCATAAAGTAGATACTCTGACTCCTGTAGAGAAAATACATATACACACATGTATGAACATATGTAAATGTATATCTTCTCTGCAACTTCTTAAATAAATAAATAGAATAGAGTTGTATACTCCTTGTTTCTATCTGATTTAGCATCTTAACAGAGGAGGTTTTGCAAGTTACATATTATTAGAATGTCTGAAATTTTGTTTGCTTACAGGAGAATGAAGCAATTTTGGAGGCTTATTTGAAGTCATGGGTGTCTGGTGCCCTTGACAAAGCTACAACTCGAGGATCAGTTGCATTCACATTAGTTCTGCATCACCTTTCATCTTTTGTTTTTATCTCTAACAAAAGTGACAAGTCGTTGCTACGGAATAAGCTTGTGAAGTCCCTACTGCGAGACTATGCCAGGAAGAAGAACCACGAGGTATGCGGCATTTCTGAAAAGCTCTCAAAACTTTTCATGGGTTCAACAAGTCATGAAAATCGTGTATATGTTCAATGACAAGCTTTATGGTGGCATTTATGCTATAACTCACTAAACTGGATCTAAAATCATAGTAAAAATAGTATTGTAAATACATCCACAATCAGTCTGTATATCGTAGAGTAGACTAAATTTTCCAGATTATTAACTCGGAGTATTATTTTAATGATCAAGAAAGAATATTCGCATTGTTTCATTATCGAATCTGTGTATTGTATTAAATCATCGTGTTCATCTCTTGGAATATGATTACAGAGAATGATGCTGCGGTTCATCGGATATACAAAGCCATCGAAAGTTCCGGTGCAGAGGAGCGATGTAGAGGAAAGGTTGGAAAGGCTGAGGGAAGCTTGCGAGGGAAATCCCTCGCTTCTGACAGAAGTTGAGAAAGTCAAGTCTTGTATGAAAGAATAGTTGTAACAACATTTTTCCTCCTGCAAACCTAAAACATATGTATATAAGAAGAAAAACACTAATGTCATGTTTGGTGGTTGGGAGTGTTACTTTTATTTTATGTTTTAGTGCATGTTAATTTTTAGGAATGAATATATATTATTTAATTTAAAGAGTTATTATTATTTTTTACTTGTTTTTCAAATTTCAAGAATAAATTTATACTAATTCCTCTTTATATTATATATAAATTGTTTTTATGATATGATCACCAAGGTATGACATAAATTCTTTTAGACTCATCCCTTTTGGAGCTTTAGGAGATGCAGCTTGGATCATTTACAATGATTGCCAAATTATTGTGCACTATACTTTTGATATTTGTGGTTAGGTTTATTCGTTTAATTTCGTTTAACCGATCATTTGTTCATTCGTAGTAAGATTAAGAAATGCAGGGAAAACAATCCATTGCTTTCTTAGAACACTAAGGTGGTGTTTGTTTTCACTGTGCAAGCTCTTCAAATCATTTATGTATGCGTCGCGCAGACCACGCGCAGACATTAGGCTTCGCAGACTGTTTGTTTTTTAGAAGACAGAAGCTCTTCAAACGTCTGCGCGAGCTCTTCTTGGTGCAAACTTGGTTTTATGTCTTCAAAAGTCTTCAAACCTCTTCAAGAACAATTATAAAATATAATTATTTATTAAAATAATTTTAAATAATTTAATAAAGTTATTTATTTTAAAATAATTTATTCTAAAATAATTTATTATAAAATAATTTATTTTAAAATAAATTATTATAAAATATGGATTGATTTATTTTAAAATAATTTATTTTAAATAATTTAGTATGGATTGATTTATTTTAAAATATGGATTGATTTATTTTAAATAATTTATTAGTATGGATTGATTTATTTTAAAATATGGATTGATTTATTTTAAATAATTTATTAGTATGGATTGATTTATTTTAAAATATAGATTGGTTTATTTTAAATAATTTATTTGTATGGATTGATTTATTTTAAAATATGGATTGATTTATTATTGTAGTTTTATGGATTGATTTATTTTAAATAATTTATTTGTATGGATGATTTATTTAAAATATAAATTGATTTATTATTGTAGTTGTATAGATTGATTTATTTTAAATAATTTATTAGTATGTATTGATTTATTTTAAAAATTTATTGTATGGATTGATTTATTATTGTAGTTGTATGGATTGATTTATTTTAAATAATTTATTAGTATGGATTGATTTATTTTAAAATATGGATTGATTTATTTTAAAATATGGATTGATTTATTATTGTAATAAATTGATTTATTTTAAATAATTTATTAGTATGGATTGATTTATTTTAAAATATAGATTGATTTATTTAAAATAATTTATTATTGTAGTTGTATGAATTATTTAAATTTCAGTATTGTAAAATAAAATTATTTAAATCTCAGTATTGCAAAACTCTTTTAAATTTAAAAAATCAGTTTATTTATATTTCAGTTCATTTTAGCAATCTGCAGACGTTAAAAAACAAACAGTCTTCTTCTTGTAGACTGCAGACTTTTGGTCCACCTCTTCTACTGCAGATGCCTGCAGATGTAGTCCGCAGACGGCAGACCTTTTACCTCTGCAAAAACAAACACCACCTAAGATTCAATGGCCATGGAATTCAGACTTCAATTTGAATCTTTTAGTTTGGTTTTACTCTGTAGTCTTGTCATTTTGCTGAGTAATTATTAAACATCAAAATATGAAAGATTGGCGCCACAATAATCAATATCTATGTTGAAGTGAAAGCCCTGCTATCTAAGAGTCGTTTTTGATTCGTTGTGTGCAAGCATTCTTCCCTCTCGGCTTTTGCCATATGTCATGCATACACCTCCCGAACCCCGCCTCTTGCGTGTGATTGCCGAGATTGACTGCATCGTGGGATCTGCTGGGCAGTTCGTAGACCTCAAGGCCGGCCTGAATTCTGTTGATTTTACGATCCAAGAGAAAAAAGTACGGTGCATTGGTTGAATGCTCAGCGGTGTGTGGGGCATTGTTGGCTGGTTCCAGAGATGACGAGGTAGAAAGGTTGAGGGGGCATTGTTGGCTGGTTCCAAATATGACGAGGTAGAAAGGTTGAGGAGATACGGTCGAGCTGTTGGTGTATTGCACGAAGTGGTGAATGATGTTATGGAATCGAAACCGTCGGAGAATGAAGAAATGGAGAGGCACCGAAAGAAACGTAAAGGCTATTTGAGTTTGTATGGGATGGAGAAGTCGACGGTGATCATAGAAGAGCTCCGAAGCAAGGCGAAGAAGGAATTTGATGGATTTGAGAAGTATGGTGAGAATGTGGCACCATTATATTGCTTCATAAATTATATGCTATTAATAGAGTCTTCAATGTTAGTGATTTGAGTCAACGACATGCTTTCTTTCTCTGCCATGTATCTACCACACTCGCCTTCGTATGTTTTCTCCCTACAGTCAGACAACGTTTTCGGAAAGACTTCAACTTTCTTTTCTTTTCTTTTCCTTTTTAATATTTTGTTATTTGTATGTGTGTTATTACCCAAAGAAAGGGAAAAATGTTACAGTAATACAAGGTGTCCTTAAACAACATATAACAAAAATACCTTAAACTGTATATAGTTTAATATTTATAAAATTAGATGTATTTATATATTTGTCAGAAAAGCTAATTTAACCATTTCAGTAATATAACTTAAAACCTCTCCTCTATTCCTGGTTGACCTTTAAAAAATCTCCTATTTCTACTCTCAAATGAAGTAAATGAAAGCATTCTAAATTAATTAATTACTTAAAAGATAAAGATGATTAGGATTTATCCTTTAACCTATAACGGATGGACGCAAGACTTTATATTAGGGGTGAATTTTTAAAATTTTAAGAAATACATAGTTATAAAATTGTAGAGATAAAAATAAATTATCAATTAAAAATACAAAAAAAATATTTAAAATATATACTAATTTAAATTTTTTTAAGAACAACGACTGCCCACAACAGTTATTGTTTCCAATCAAATACACTGGTATTTGAATTACACATTACAATAACAGTTTCCTAATTATTATTATTTTCTTGTGATAAAGAAGGTTTACATATATCAAACGGTAGACAACATCCCTTGACCATTGCTGACCACCTGCAGAGGCGACGCAACCTACAGAGGTGGGTGGTAGAAAACCTGACTTGTGCCATGCCTTAAGCCACCCATCTTGATTAACCTATTAAATGTGTTTACTCAAAAAATACATAATCTTAAATTTCAGACACAACGTCATATATTGTATAATGATCATCAAATTCGATTTTCGTATGTAATAATCTGTTTCTAGTTACAAATCTCTCAAATATTTTTTTTTATTATGCAATTCTTTAGTATTAATTTTGTACGCAAAATTTTGTGCTCATCTCCTTTTATAATAGAGATCTACAAATTAAGAATTTATTGAGCGATCTTAATGATAAAAAAAAATGTTGTTCTCTCTGAAAATTCTGGATTCAAGCAGCCGCGTCCGCCAGGTGTATGTACATTATCATTGACAAAAATAAAATTCTAAATATATACTATCTTATAATCAATTCAGACTGTATAAAAGAAAAACCTACAAATCATTGAACTATCATTTTTTAAAAAATAAAAAAATAAAACACCTGTAACATTTAGTTGAACATATATATATTTTTTATGTTTTCATATTTTATTTTCAATAAACTCATCTTATATCCAATGCATATAACTTTTAAGAGTTAAGTGTCGTCATCATCTTATCCTATTCTTCAAGCCAACTGTATTAGAATTCTCAACATTTTTTTTTATAAATTGAACCCAAATATAAGTGGATAAGTTAATTTATTATGATGATATGTAGTATTTAGTTATATACTATGTCGTAACCGTGTTTCGGCGAGGACGATCGTTTGTTGTTTTTTAAAAACAGTTAAGACTTTTATTTTTGGAAAAATCCTGTGATTTGGAATTAAATTGGATAGAATTGAAAAGAGTCGCCATCGACCTTTGGGTTAGGTAGGTCGAATACCTAAAAATGTCTTTTAAAAACAATTTTAAGAAAAATCATTTTTTAAGACAAAAGTTGGTCTGCGTTTACCAAAGATTTTATTAAAACGGATTCGGGAGTCGATTACGCGTGGAGAAGGATTAACACCCCAACAGCGCCCTAAATCGGTACCTAGTCGATTAATTAATATCTTTGCAATGAAATTTACAAATTCAAATTTAATTTGGTTTATGATCCCCAATAAAATAACAACACATGAATTTCACCATGTTCAAAAGTACACAAATAGATTAAGTTAAAATTACCCAGCCTTTAGAAAGATAAAGAATATTCGATTATTTAAAAATCGAGACCATATCTTAAATAGTTATAACAACCTTTTCTCGATAATTTAAATAGCCGAACATTTCTTTTTCTTCCATTATCAAATTTTAAAGTGACAAGTCAATTTATTAGGTGTCACTGATGGGATACACTTTTATTTTAAAATCGTTAAAAACGAACCTCGAATAAGTTAAGACAACCCACTTAAAACAATTTTAAATTAAAAGGGTATTACCCTTAATTCAATTATGTAATTATGAATCGAGTTATGCACATGAGGGTATCATACAAATTATAAAAATGATATCCTATAATCATAAAAATACATTGATAAATACATTAAAAGCTATCTTGTAGAATAATATATACATACGAAGATTATACACATATTTAGAATATATTATATAATTTATACATATGTTGTGACATATAATAATAAAAATAATATACGATATAATAATTAAAACATATTTATATAAATATATACCTAATATTTACAATATTAAAAAGCAAGATGGATATAAATTGTTCAGTGCATATATATATATATATATATATATAGGAAACATTAAATTATGTACTGAATATAACGTAATATAAAATAAAAATGTATATATGACGACCAAATAGACAAACAGCAGAAACATGCGAACAAAATCAAGTTTTAATTACCGATTAAAATAAATTAAAAGTAAAATAGTATGTCAAATCTAGAGAGTACAAATATAATTTTCCTTAATATTATAGGACTA